GTGTGTGTGTGTTTGGGCACATAAGTGTCAGTACGTATCTCAGTGCTATGCGGACAGGCGACACTGCAGCAGATACTGGAGGTGCTGGTAGGTTTTGTGTGTTAGCATCTGAGCTGAAGCAGAAATGTTCACAAAAGGTACATTTATGAAAACAGATGAAACCTTTATGTTTTATGGGAACTGGAATGAGAAATTGCTAAATAACTTGAGACATGTCACCTTAATTGTTATCTTAAAGCTTAGAAGAGATCGAACGTTGCTTCTCATGCAAACACACATACATGTACAACTTTCATTCATTGTTTTTTATTTCTAATATGGATGCAATACTAGTGACATGCTTCATTTAAACTATTTTTTTTACATCCAGACACTTTTATTTGTTACAACAATCATAAAAAACATTAAAGATGATTTCTTTTAGCGCTTATAATTTCTTTGTAAAATAATCACATATTTAGTACTGATGTATCACAAGTTTATGAGCCATCTCAGTTTGGTTAAGTATGCAACAAGACAAGAATAAACAGTCCACTAGAAATAGAAAATCTTTTCAAAATTCTCTTTCAAATCTTTTTTTGTTCCACACACATTTTTTTTTCTAAATCATCAAGAGTTTTATGATGACAGCTTCTGTATTTAGAAAGTTTTTTTTCTTACCTAACTTCCTGTCACCGTACAACCTTGTCACAGCTGCCCCCTCCTTCCTTATTCACTCTACCTCAAATCCTAATAAAAATCAGCATGAAATTAACATATTTTCTCTCTTCCTTCAAACAAAGTTGTCTATTTTCAGCTCTTTGTCTTTTGTCTCGCGCTCGTGTCTTTTTTTTCTGTGATGACTTTCTGATTGTTTGCTACTTTTATCATCCTTCTGACATCGTACCTATTTTAGTTCCTTGCATCTCTTCATCAACCTTTTTTAAACACAAGCATGGATAGAAATATGCCTAATATAAAATACACGGGGGGTAGAATGTGCTGCTAAAGATATAAATAATTCTCTTTACAGCTAAAAATATATCAGTTATATAAAAAAAACACTGTCGCATGCCTTTTTTTAGGTGTAGTTTAGTTTCGAGGAGTGATTTCACAGTTCTGCAACGCAGTTATATTTGTAACTAGTGACAAACTGATATTGAAAATTTAAATTTCGACACTAAAGGGATGTTGTAGAATAAAGAGGGGACAAAAAGCATGTTTTCACCTATAGATGGCACCACCAATTGTTTATTGTAAATATTTGTATTTACAGATACAGGATAGTAGACACAGCTTATAGAGAATAAAACCCCATTAAAAATAAATACATAACTTTTTTAATATTTCAAAACTTATTCACGCATTATTGGAGGTTTCCTGTTTATAATAACACAAAAATGTATTTTTTTTCTCCAAATGATCAGACCCTTTGTGTCTCTTTGCTTCAGACTACCCCAAATATTAAGTTTAAATGAACTAATTACAGTTTTGGTTGGTTACTAGCTCTCATACACGTTAAATGTAGCAATTGTGTCACTTTGTTTCTTTAATTAGGAGCAGAATACAATGTAACATGAAAATACATGTACCATGAACATACACTCTTTTCCACACAAAGGTTGCACAGAAAATGTTGAGAACAAAAGCAACTTAAGTGCTAAATAAAAATGTGATGATCCCAATAAGCCACAGAGAGGACACTTTCTCCTTCCACTTGCTCCTTCTCCTCTCCTCTGTAACTCTGAGCTGAACGACATGTCAGAGTGTTTTTGTTTATGTCTCAATTATCCAGCAAATGTTGCATTCGTAAGATTTCAATTAAACCATTATCTCTCTAATGAGCCAGGACGAGAACATAAGCTGCCAATTAAATCCCAGTTTCTTTTTTCAGGCACACAAAGACTGTATTTTCTATTTGGCACTTCTCAGCACAACGTGATAGGAGTTGAGTCAAGCTGTTTGTAGATCAGTTTATTTTTAATATAAATATAGAAAACTCTTTGCAAAGTTTTTTTTTTATTTAAAAAAGTCAGCTCAAGGAAACAAAATGTCATCATACTTTTTCTACTTTTGGTTCCTGAAATATTGTAAGAGACAGAGCAGAGTGACTCTACTGTACCTACCAGTGAGACAATGAATAATGCATGAGGACTCACGCTGAATGAACCTATATTAAATATATATCATGGCAAATATCCTGCAGGTCTTACATTTGAAATTTCTTGTAAAGTGTTCAAACTTTTGTGATAGGGACCCAAAGTGTGAGTTAATATCTGCTCACAACTCCCTCCTTCAGTTGTTCTCACTCTCACAGGATAGGTCTGACCTTTGACCCGAGCATTATCAGTCGGGGACAGACTGTAAGTGACTGGAAGCTGTTGATATATGAGCATAATATGTTCTGAATGATCTCCGTATAGAAGGTGTGACAGGGTTGTGCATTTTTACACATATTACCAGAGTTTTATGCACACAAAAAGGATTGTGGATCTATTTTTTAGCTGCACCATGCCAATAAAAGTTTAAAATCTTAAAGGAAGCTGAAGGCAAAAGAGAGCCTAACGTTTGAAATATTTTAACATCACCCTTTTCTATCAATAATTTAGGCACAGCAAAATTATTTACAATTACATCTTTTAAAGACCAAACGTGTGATAGAACAGTGCTCTTTCTCTCTTTTTCATAACACTGTCATGTCTTGCCACGCTACACTGCATCACTCTGCTTTGTTACAAGGACGTGTTAAAGGAATAGTTCAGATTTTCTGTAAAGGGAAGATAACAAATATATTAATATCTTACTTGATCAAAATAGATATGTGAATGATCTCAGTTTGGAGAAATTAAAATTTATGGGCTGAGGGTTATGCTCAGCAGGTCAAAGGTCAAATGAGGTTACTATATTATTCCTATGAACCTGATTAACTGTTGATTGATTGTTGATCCTGTTGGGATTAAACTGTATCCATTTAAAGAGTAGCATTCAACAGGTACAGTGGTTTGCAAAAGTATTCATACCCCATGAACTTTTCCATATTTTGTCACATTACAACCACAAACATAAATATATTTCACTGGAATTTAATGTGAAAGACCAACACAAAGTGGTATACAATT